ATGTATTAGTTAATGGTAAAAAAATTTTTATGTATATAAAGCAGAAATGAAATAAATCGAAAATTTCATTTTTTAAATAATCAGATGTTACTTTTTGCATTTTGTAGTGATTGTACATAACAATAAATTAGAAGTTCTAATCATATAATTAGTACTTGCTACAGGAATTAACTTTATCCATTATTTCAAAGTTTTAAATAAAATACTGATTTTATAAATCATTGTAGTGAGTGCATTTTATCAGATATGGATTTATTATAATAAGTATTCAGATTATAATATTCATTATTATAATATTGATAATGGTGCATTTACTATAACCATAAGTATTATAAACTGAATATTCATTACAGGACTTATCATTATAATATTAACAACAAGTGCATTACTATAATCATAAGTATTGCAACGAATGTTCAGTTCACAATACTTATGATTGTAGTAAATGTACTTGTCAAGAAAATGAGTTTTATAATATATAAGTTTAGATATTATATACTATATCATCTATAAACTAAACATTTATTATTTTAGCACACTTTTGAAAATAAATCTGGATATAAAAAAATATGTATAATAATCTTTTTATTTATCACAAATATCACAAAAGAAAGAAGTTTATACTATATAGTTGGTAACTTTCATTTAAATTATCTTTCTCCTTTTTAATTCTTTGTTTATTCTTTTAACTTTTATTACTTTTAAAACAGTATGATGCAAGCTTTTGCTGTATCTAAAATAGACAAGAATATGAACAGTGTGCATGATTTGTATTTTTAATATTCTTGTAGAGAGAATAAGAATATAAAAGATTGATTAATAACAATATTTAATTTTCTATAAAGATCAAAGAGCATTAGACTGAACTATAAAAGTAGAGTATAGTATATTGAATCAAGTACAAAATGATTGGCTTGTCTAAAAAATAAAAAGAAGAGAAATTATAAGAATATAATTTTGAGGTGCATATTGAACAAATATATTAGCAAGAAGTGGTGAAATAGAAATGAAAAGAAAAGATAAAGTTGATAGAGTAAATTAGATATTATTATTATTTTTTGAATGTTATTGTTTAATAATATATTGATAAATTATTATTATTTAAAATAGATTTGAAGGATCTGAAATAAAATTTTGAGTATTAAAAGATTTTTTCAACAATATGTAATATTAGTAAAAATAATAATTTTATATTGTGTTTTTTATGATTTTTGTTAATTTATTAATATATATGATTTTATTGAGTTATTTGATTAATTTTAATTTTTAGTTTTAAAGTTATTTTTATTAATTAGTTAGTGTTTTTATTTTTTTTGAATAATATTTTATAGAAATAATATTAATTATTAATTGAATTTTATTTTTTTTATAGAATTAAATATATATACTAAAGTGATAATTTATTAAATTATATAATATGTAGAAATGATGTAGCAAGTATATGATATTTATTTATTATTTGTTAAAATTTGATATTTTATAAGTTGTAATTAATTGTAATTAGGTGAAGTTTTATTTGTTATTATGTTGTAATAATTGATGTATTATTTTTAGTAATGAGTATATGTATTAAGAAAGTAAATGTGTAAATATAAAATTTTTATATTTTAATATGTTAAATTTTGATTTGTAAAATTTAGGATATTTATTATAATTTTTTTAGTAATTAAGATTATATAGTATGATAATTTTAAAATATTTAAGAATTTGAAAGTTAGGATAGGGATAGGGGTAGGGATAGGGATAGGAATAGGGATAGGGATAGTGATAGTGATAGGAATAGGGATAGGGATAGGGATAGGAGTAAGGATAGGGATAGGGGTAGGGATAGGGATAGGGATAGGGATAGGGTTAGGGTTAGGGATAGAGATAGGGTTAGGAACAGGGGTAGGGATAGAGATAGGAATAGAGATAGGGATAGGGATAGGAGTAGGGATAGAGATAGGATTAGAATTAGGGTTAGGTTTTATGTATTAGTAAAAGTCAGCTTAGTGAAAGACAATAGTCTCAAGACAAAAAATATATAATTTCAATACCTTTTATCAAGTCAAATTCGTATTTCAGCTGACTTTATACTGAAACAGAGATTCATAATTCCAGTGACATTGTAGTACTGGTAAAACTTATACAAACATGTGTAAATTTGGTAAAATTACGCAAAAATTGCGTGATTTCTAAGTAGAAATTCGAAATTCTAAAAAGAATTCCAAAATTTTCAATAGAATTCTTGGCAAAAAACTATTGGTTCCAGCTAAAATGGCGCATACCATTTTAAGAACAATAATAATGCATAAACAATGTGATTTATGCATATAAACATAAACAAAAATAAATTATTTTTGGATAAGTTATCTGATCTGAATTGGGTATTATGTGACAAGTCAAGTGATTTGGTTACAGGTAAAATTGGAATTGTGGCGCAATTATGGTGCAGCATGGTTCGGTTAAATTAGTTTTTTCAGTAACGCAGTATTAATGACGCAGTATGGATAAATAAAAAACCTAATTGTAGCGCAGGTGGCGTAGCAATTATTAGTCTAACTAAATTGGTAGACAGTCTAAAAAGGAAATACCAAATAAAAAAATACCAAAAAAGAAAATACCAAAAAAGAAATTACCAAATAGGAATTCTAAATAAGAAATTATCAAAGAAGGCAATTAGGATTGCTAATCAATTTGTTAAGGTATTAAAGAATTAATGCATAATTTTGGTCAGGTGATCCTTGAGTTAGAATAGGGCCCCAGATAGGAATAAAGATGCCTATTTGGGTATCTAAATTCATAAAATGGACCCTATTTTTAACTCTTAATAAATTAATATTTCAAAGAAATATATGAAGTATTTCTAATATGTTCAATATCCAAAGGATCCATTAGGTATTAGTGACCGAATCAACTAAGACTAGCTACATATTATATTTCCTTCTTAATTTATTCATTATAGAAATTAAACTCTCACTCTTCCCTCTGTTAACAAATATATTGATCTTTATAAGACCAAATCGTTAGCAATTTCTTCTTTAAGAAACAAAATCACCTCTTTAGGTGATAAATCTGTGGGCTATTATTGCTCACTTTCTCTTAAAAATCTTCCTCCTGCTCTTGTTCTTACTGCTCATAATGAATTATCGCAAGAAATTCATAAAGTCTTGGCTAATAAGCACAGTGATTTCCTTTCGGAAAAACTCACTACGCTTCTTAAGGAACAAGAGCATATTCGTAAAAATTATGCCAAGCAATTAGATGAGAAGTTTAGTAAGGTGCAAGCTGAACTTCAAATCAATGTAAGTAGTAGTTCGTTGAAGACCGAACTCTCTACACGTACTCAAATTCTGCTAAAAGCAGAATAGAGAATACCTTACAGCAATATGATGAAAAAATATTGCAACTTGACATCGAGCATTCTCTCGATATTGAGCCAGTAAGAAAAATAGATTCTATTTCATACAATGAACTTAATACTCCATTTGTTAAAAACTATTTCACGAAAGAATCTAATGCTTCTAATATTTTTGAAGCCACGAAAATGAAAAACACCATCAAACGTCGACGAAGACACCATGGTAATCGATCCGCCCAAAAAGAAAATCAAAAAAGGTCTGATGAAACAAAAGAAACCAAAAACGACAACCAAAAGGTATTCGTTAACAATCTTTCTAATATTTCACTTCCACCTTTCGTTGTAAACACTCTTAGTCTAGGTGTTAATTTTCAACTTTCTCATTCTCTCTCTTTACAGAACTTCGACCAAAATTGATCAAAAGTCGCAACGCAATACCTCCAAAAAGCTAAGAAAAATCACTCCAAAAAAGAACTCCAAAAAATTGGCGTAGATTTTTTAATTGCGTTAGATAGAAATCATTTATATTTTAATAAATATAATAATATTAATAAAGATTTTCTTTTTGTATCTCGAAATATTGAACAAGTTTTTAATTTTCTTTTCTCAAATGATTTGATTGTGGTTCTCGCAAATAAGAATCTTGGTTTAACAATTTTAAACAAAGATAAATACTATAATTTAATGCTTGATTTATTAAATGATAGTTCT